AGAAACCAAAGAAAAGATAAATGAATATAAAGGAATAATTACAAACCTCGTAGGTCTAGTAATGGATGTAAAAAATGGTAGAGTTAACAGGGGGAATACAGTTAAATATAGAAGAAAATTCCACATATAGAAAACATTTAACAAGGAGAGAAATATTTAAATATAGAAAATTCCACATATAGAAAACATTTAATAAGGAGAGAAATATTTAAATATAGAAGGAAATTTTACATCTTGAAAACAATTTCACATATAGAGAACGATTTACATATAGGGAAGATGTCAGAATAGAAAAAAATTAACATATAAAAATATAAATAAAAAGAGATGATTGCGAAGTTCGGCTGATACGAAGTTAGTTGAAATTTGTTCCTGTGGCGACACTTGGAGTGTAGGGTTGAAATAATGGTATGGCATTTTATGTCATATTACGTAATGTTTAAATTTATGACCCTTTTTGTCAATTCTTCTTCAATCTCTGACGAAGTCTTAATAAAATAATACTTGTTTTTTTTTTATCGAGTTACGATCCATATTTGATCTACATTTGATCTTTAACTCATACATATATGTATATATGTGTGTGTGTGTGTGTATGTGTGTGTGTGTGTTCTCTCAGACAACACTCCTGAAGAGTGAAATAATTACTACAATGAGCTCACGAAACTTCGAAGTCAGTACGACTGAATCAACACCACTCAGTTAAGTGATAAGTTTCTCACATTAATTACACACACACACAGACACACACACACACAGACACACACACACACATATATATATATATATATATATATATATATATATATATATATATATATATATATATTACCATACATCTTATATATATATATATATATATATATATATACATATCTTATATATATATATATATATATATATATATATATATCACTGGACTACTTTATGGGTCAGAATCATGGACCCTATACCGGACACACATCAAGCAACTTGATGCTTTTTCAGAGACACTGTCTTCGTTCAATATGCGGTTATACACGGCAGGACAAAATCACTAATCAGGATCTTGGGCTGGTCATGTCATAAGAATGTGTGATGATCGGATGCTGAAAATCCTCATGTATAGCCAACTTTTTATGGTAAGCGTAATGTAGGCCGTCCTTTGTTACGCTTCAAGGACAAATTCAAATACAATTTAAATGCTGCAAACATTCCAAAAGAGGAGTTCGAACTTGCCTTTGAAAACCGAGCAAAATTGAGAAACACCTGCCACTAACTTTGAAAAGAATCATATATATATGTACAGATATATATACACACATATATATGTGCATAGACACAACAACCTGCAATAACACAACCAAGAAGTCTCAATGCAACTGCAGATATAGAACATGCCCACTCCAATTAAACTGCCAACAAACAAATATAATATATAGAGCCAAGGTAAGTGAAAACAACAACGCAATGTACTACAGTGGGGCCACTGCGGTATCATTCAAGAAAATACTAAAACAGCACTACACTATCCACATACATATGGCATCTAAAAGACAAATATTACACCAAGAATAAGATGGAAAACATTGAAAAACGCACTTGCCTACAACATCATTACAAAGAGATGCCTACTTAGCCTACAAGAAAAGGTAGCAATAATTCCCCATCCCCCCCAAAGAGAAATTACTAAACATAAGATCAGAAATAATTTCCAAATGCAGACATGAAAACAAATATCTATTATCACAATTTATGCCAAACGGATAAAAACAATATACCAACCATTACTACCGCATCACAATTACCATTGCCGTATCAGTCCACAATTATACTTACTTCCCCACCAACAAAATTAATAGCACCGCATAAATACTAATAAGTATTATAAATTGTAATTTCTACCATTTATATATGTGCAATCGCCAAAAAGAAACAAATAACCGACTTTAAAATAATAACAAAATAGCATCAAAAATTTTCTTAAAATAATAGTAATTTTAACTACCATTGTCTTCCACAGAGCCCCATCATAAAAAAACAGACGGATAGAAAATGTGTGAACGCGTATGCACACGTACATACGTGTGTGCGCGAAAACATTATTCAGCAAACAAAATAGTCGAACGGTCTGCGCGTTGATGCCACAACTGACGAAAGATGTTCGTTACACAATCCAACATTGACTACAGCGACCAATTGCGTACATATGTACGCAACGACACATGGATGCGCATATTTATGTTTGTGTGTGCTCCAGTGAGTGAACGTGCGTGTATGTATGTCTGCGTACGTCAATGAGTAAACGTGTGTGTATGGATGATTGCGTACGTATGAGTGGCGTTCGAGGACACTTTTTCCCTCCCACTACCATAAAAAACACCGATATAGGCAACCATATATAAATCCAAAATTTAAAAATTAATCAGTTTGTCTGACGATCGCAAATAGCGTGAAACCCATGGTCACAACCTCACATCAATCCAACTATATATATATATATATATATATATATATATATATATATATATATGTATGGATTTTAATCTCATATTATTTCTCATTATATATTGTATAATAGAAGTAACTGAGAATAGTTCTATGTGGATATGGAAAAAACTAAAGCGAACATGACGGCATGACATGACTGATCGTGAATGCGTAAGGAGGTTCATGTTGCATTCTCAGGACGCGAGGTTTACCGTTTTTCGGAATTTTCGTAAATTTAATTTCGCCGTTACACATTTGAACTAGTTTATCTACAACACTTGTATATCGTTATAATGGGGCCTCACATCAGTGAGGGGTGCCGGTGGGCAACTGAAACCGTTGAGAGGAAGGCCCCGAAACGGTGCACATTCTCTCCTGATGACCCCAGTTTAAATATCAATTTGAGTGGAACACATCAAAATTCATTGAAGTCATATGCCGTAGAGAAGTACGGTGGAAGTGTCATTGGCATGAGGAGCATTACACATTCAGCTCGCTTCAGGTGAGTTTCAATTACTTTCCAGTAATTTCCTTCTTCTATTTAATGGATACACGCGTCTGAGTTGACAATTATTTAAATAATAAAAATGTCTACTCAAACACGTGCATACATTTAATATAACATTTATTTTTTCTTTGTTGTTTGCAGTAAGGTTCAATTTGTGCAGGGCCCGTAGAACACTCGTGGTAAAAAGTTACTTTAGTGGGTAATATATATATATCGATATGAGACAAAGATAACGGTTAACAGCAGACTTGAACAAATTACGATTGTAGTGATCGGCGAAATATCCTCTTGGGAGTCTGTTCCACAGGGCAGTGGTTCACAGGAAGTAGCTGTTTGATTGGAACCTCCTCCTCGCCGATGGAATACTGAAGAAGTGTGGGCGGTTTGCTACGACGAAAGAGGCATGGCGAGTCCTAGCCGTTAAGGTTAGACCCGGTGGAAACAAGGAATGTAGTTCGCCTGAGCACTTTCCATGTAAGTAGCAACAGAGCAATGCGACACTCGACACATCACGACTGTGAGAGAGAGAAAGGTCGGAGGTGTGGAAATAATTCTTCTCCAACAACGATTCGGATAAGCTTTTGAGGATCTGTCAAGACTGGAAAGTAAAGACCAGGAAGATCCCACCCAAATATGGCAACAGTACTCCATTTTTGGTCTGACCTGACTCTTATAAAGGTAGCCCCGTCTAACATTCTCAGCTGACATGAAGTGGGAAAACTATGTTGAATACTATATATATATATATATATATATATGAAATAAATCTTAAAGAGCCAGGATGTAATAACTTATAATAAATAACTATTGCTCTACTTTTTGCATTGAGCTCTCTTTTAAAATAATGTTATGAACGTTTGTATTTATATTCTTTTCGTTCTCTCTACATTTGGATATATATATATATATATATATATATATATATATATATATATATATATATATATATATATATATGAATAAATATAGATCTAAAACATCCTATATACATACATATATGAACTTCCACTCGTTTAAATCAGGAAATTACAGGACAAAGCTTACCCCGAGATAGATAGATAGATAGATAGATATGAACAGACTGAGATAGATAGATAGATATGAACAGACTTAGATAGATAGATAGATAGATAGATAGATAGATAGATAGATAGAAGATATGAACAGACTGACCTCATCTGTATGAAATTGCAATTTGCATCCGTCATTCACTAGAATTCCTGATCATATTTCCCTGGTGAAATTTTGCCAAGTCTTTGTTTGTCCACACAAGACTAAAAGAAATGAACGCCAGCATAAAAGAAATGAGACGAACAGAAAAGAATAATGTGGAAACACAACAACCGTTAGAAAGGCTTTTTTTTTTCTTTTTTTTTTTAAATAGGACGCCATTTTTTATTTTAGTTTTGTTCTTTTTGTTTCTTTTTGACTCTGTGTTGTCGTCTGGTGAGGAAAATTCTATTCAGCGTCTCCCACCCGAGGGAAAGCACAAAAGCCCTATAAAAGCAAGGCGGCTGTCCGTTATTGTAGACTTATTAAGTGTTTCAATATCTCATTTCGAACGCTAACAGAAACGGGTACGAAATTGGGGGGAAAAATGAAAGAATGAATAAGACTTGAAGATGAAAAACATGACGAATAGAAGACAGGAACGAAAAGGAAGAAAAGGTTTAATGAAAGATAAAAGTGTAGTAAGAAACGGTTTAACACGAATGAACAATAAAGTGTAAGATTAAACAATTAAAAAGGGGAAATACAATAATTAGAGAAAAATGAATGAAAAAAGGAAAAAAATGGTGGGAGAATAAAGGGGAGAAGGAAAAAGTCAGCGAATAAGAAATACAAAATAGAGAATCGAAAATATATATTTCTAGCGAAAGATTAAGAAAAAGAAGAAAGAAAATTCGATCTAAACTGATACTAATTTGTATGAATGAAAAACAAGAATAAATAGAACGAAATACAATGACTGAATAAATGAGATTCAACATTTTCTATGGAAAATGACCGTTGTCAAACAAAATCAGAAATAGAAAGGAAGGAAGGAAGAGAGGGAGGGAGGAAGGAAGGAAGGAAGGAAGGAAGGAAGGAAGGAAGGAAGGAAGGAAGGAAGGAAGGAAGAATTAAGAAAGAAAAAAAGGAAGTGGGGAAGGAATGGAAGAAGGAAGGAAGGAAGGAAGGGAAGAAGGAAGGAAGGAACGAAGAAAGGAAGGTGGAAGGAAGGAAGGGAAGAAGGAAGGAAGGAAGGGAAAGAAAGAAAGAAAGAAAGAAAGAAAGAAAGAAAGAAAGAAAGGGGGAAGGAAGGAAGAATGGAAGGTGGAAGGAAGGAAGGAAGGAAGGGAAGAAGGAAGAAAGAAAGAAAGGGGAGAAGGAAGGGAAGAAGGAAGGAAGAAAAGAAGGAAGGAAGGAAGGAAGGAAGGAAGGAAGGAAGGAAGGAAGGAAGGAAGGAAAGAAGGAAGGAAGGAAGGAAAGAAAGAAAGAAGGATGGAAGGATGGGAGGAATGCAGGCAGGAAGGAAGGCAGGCAGGAAGGAAGGAAGGAAGGAAGGAAGGAAGGTAGGAATGAAGGAAGGAAGGAATAGACGGAGTGTTGAAGAAACTAGTGCTTAATAATACGAGAAGGCAAAAGACTAAAGAATATAACAAGTAAAAAAAAAGGTAATCAGAAATTAAAAAAAAATCAATAACAGCTAAATGAAGAAAAGAAAGAGACAATAAAAAAGGTAAAACCAACAAACTGAAGAAAATAAAAATTCAATAACTATAAAAAAACCGAAAGAAAAAAAAGCTTTGACCGAAAGAAAGAAATAATGAATGAAACATCGAACGAAAGAAGGAAAATTTGAAGGAGAAAAGACAGAAGAGAATACAGAAAACGCGTTCGAATAATCTCAGAAGAAATAAAAAGCAGGGAAACAATAGAATAAAAAGAAGGAAAAGAAGAAAACAAGTCGAAAAAATGAACTCGGCGATGAAGAAACGAAAAGCTGAGAAACAAAAATCTAGCAAAAGAAGGAAGAGAAAAGAAAGAGAGAAAAGGATAAAAAAAAAAAACAAGTAAATCCCTGCGGAGACGAATAGAGAAGAAAGAACGACACAAATGGAAAACCAATAAAAAAAGTCACACAAAGATTCTTCGTTTATTTGCCGTGGCCCTTCAGGACGTTCGCGATCATGGGTCTCCACACCTTCCTGTCCTTTTTAGCTCTTAGTAAATTGTCTAGTTTTGTTATTTATCCTAAACTCTGTTTGCACAACTTCGATAATTTGGTTATGCATTGTTTTCATCTATCCCGCTTGACTTCAGTATGTCTTGTGAGTGTCAAATTTTCTGAGCCCTCTTTCCTCATTATGTGCTCTGGAAATGTCAACTGCCTCTTCCTGATGTTAATTATAAGTGTCGTTTTTGTTTCTATTTTCTCTAAAACTCCATCGTTGCTCACATGTTCGGTCCATGGTATTCTCAGCATCCTTCTGTAGCACCGCATTTTACTTCAAGTTTCTTCATCTATGAGAAGATTGTCCATCATTCACTGCCATATAGGAGGACTAATGTTACATAACAGTTCAGTATTCTTTTCTTTGTTCCTAACAAAATTTTCCTTTCTTAATACTTCGCTTATCTTTTGTAAAGCATCTTTCAATAACCCAATACACCATCGGTTTTTTAATACGCTTCACAAATGTTTACATTTTTTCAGTTGTTGGATTTTAACATCTCCAATTTGTATTTCGCATGTTGGGCAGTTCCTTTTGCTGACAACTGTATATCCTGTCTTCTTGCAATTGGTGTTTAATCCTTTCTTCTCACTTTCCTTTACTGCCTTCTACAGAAGTTCCTGTAGTTTCTTTTCTGTGTTTTCTATCAAAACTGTGTCATCTGCCTATCTTATGTTCTTAAGATTGTAGCCCACATAAATGAACCATCATTGCACAAATTGAACAAGTCCGGTGAGAAGACGCACCCTTGTCTTACATCCTTTTCTATTTTTGTATATTTACTGGATTTATTTTCTATCCTTATACAGGCGGTTTGCAGCCAGTATAAAAACTGGATTATCCTAATATCCATCCCAGCTTCTTGAAGGATTAACCTGGGAAAAAAAATGAAAACATAAAAACGGAACTAAGAGAACGTAAAAAGTAATTTTTAAAATATCCAGAAGGAAAAGCAAGAATCAGAACGTCAAAAACACGTCGAAGAAAAATCGAACGAGTAGCTTATTAGTTATCTGCTCACGAAAGGCAGAATCAGGAAGATGAATTCGAATTCAAGCCTAGTGAGTCGTTTTCACTTTGCACTGCGCCCTTAGAAACGGCATGAATCGGTCAAGTCTTCAGTGACAACCAGACTAAATGAAAGACACTGTGAATTCAAAAACTGTGGAAAAGCCATTGCAATCTTTGCCAGAAAGTTATAGTAATATTCCGATAATAAAGAAACGAGATCTATGGAAGGCCATAATCGCCTACGTCTTGAAGGGACACTGTATTAAAAAAAAAAATGAAGACCTGTAATACAGAATTTGCAGGTAGGTTACACACGAACACAGTGGTTCGCAAGTTTTTTTCCCTGGGCCGCATTTTCGGAATTAAATTTTGCTCGCATCACACCAAATTCTATGTAATAAAAAAGTGCATTTAAAAACGGGGTAGGGTAAAAGGAAGATAACATTATTATTGATAACTCTCTCCTCCAATTTACAGAGCCTAGTTACTATAGTCTTAATACTTGATATAAATAATTATTGGCCAATTTTATCATTGTGATATTTTTGCATTATAACTATTTATAGTGGGACTCATGCATGCAATTACAAGTAATCCATAATAATATTTTAAATTTTGAAATCATTTATTTTTGGCATATTTTTTAAAATGTTTCTAAATCTTTGATTGTCTTTCAATCATTCCGCCTCACCTGCTATCCTCTTCTGTCGTACCTATGAGGCGGGCCGCACTGTTTGGGAACCACCGAGCTAAAAAAAATGGCGAATGTAATTGACAAAGCAAGTTCAAATCTTGGACGAGTCTGTTGCGGTCACTTTTGGAAAAAAAATAACGCTCTATTATATATATATATATATATATATATATATATATATATATAGTGCCATCCACAGAGATACTGTTTCGCTGCGTCACAGCTCAACAGTGTGGCTAGACGTCTGTTTACCTCTAGCTAGGATCGAAATCACGACTGAATTGGTGTTAGTCGGGGGATTCTACCACTAAGCCATTGACACACGGCGGGGACGAATGCGAATTTAAGCTTATTTATTTTTTAGATAAACACACAGTGACATCGAGAACTCGATTATATTTACCGAAGTTTTGCATTATTAGCCGTAATAGTCACTGTTTTCAAACCCACACTTCCTCCCCAGAGAGCTCAACCGAAACAAAATTTTCAGAAACATATATATATATATATATATATATATATATATATATATATATATATATATATTTCTAACGTGTTCAATATAAAATAAATTGGGCTCTCAGTCTTGGTTTGTAAGCCAGTCTCGGAGAAGGACAATTCTGAATTCCAAACCATAGAGAAGGTAACGGAGAACCATTCGACTATCATTCCCAAGAAGTCATGGCAATTCACAGGTAACAAAGAAACGGAACCTGTGAATAACCGCCATTGTCAATGTCATGAATAGATATAGCATTACAAATAAACAAAAAAAAAAATGGGACAATTAAGGAGAAAAGTAAAAAGAAAGAAAGAAATGCGATTATTTCAATTCACATTTTGTGCTATGTTGTCGTTACTGGAGACAGACTTAGACAACGTTTACTCTCCTCAGTATTCCGGTCATTTTGAATAATATTTGATGATCTTGATTCATCCTTGGATCCCTAATTTTTTCATTTTTTTTTTTTTTTTTACTAGGCTCTTCGGAAACATTCCCTTTCCTTCAATAGCATTATGCACGATCGTCATCTTCATATTTAACAAATCCTTTTTTTTTCTCAGTTCTCTTACTGTTGTAGCATATCTACGGACGATAACGTGTATATCCCCGTTCACATAAATATAGTAGTAAATACTGTATGTTGGTCATCAGTTGGAGATTCGCCTGCAGTTGTGCTGGACAAACCGGACAGAGAGGTTCCCCTATGTCGAAGGGCAGAATCTCGTCTCGGAAAACAGTTACCCGATCCCGAGGTCTACGGGGAATTTTTTGCCGAGCCTACGGGCACGGATATCCCACATTAAATTCGGCCTTGTGCCACATGTGACCGCGTTGGATGGTTGGTAGATATCCTGCAGGTGGAGATTCATTGTGGAATTCATTTGACGCACTTCTAGCAGTTGACTACTTCTACGTGCCGCTGGCGAATCTTATATGTGTTGTTCTTGTCCTAAGTATTATCGTTCATTTCCAACCTTCGTGTGATTATTCTATTCAGTAAGCTCTCCCTAGGTTATAAAACTTACGAAGCCTAAATATTTATACAGCTTTTCCCATTCTATCAATTTCATCCTGTAAGTGAAGTTCAAAGTTCATAATCAAACAAACTTTCCTCAAGATGACTGGATATGGTCTTCTGGTCTAAATTAGGTGGTTCGTTGAAGCCCAATGGTACAAAGTATTCTATCCTTTTTATTCGTTAAAACAGGCCCCGGTGTACATCGTCGGTTCATCTGACCAAATTCCCGCTGTTTGCACAAGCCTTAAATTATCTGGTCCTAACCACTCATTTTTTATTATTATTAGGAAAACGAAATTAAATAGACTTCATCAATCAGTTATGTGCCATGCGTGATACACACTTAGGCGATCATGTATCTTTCGATACATGACTGACGAGGCAGATTTTTTTCCTGCAGTAGGTTGTCATTTCTTTTTGTGGTAGACCAGTTGCCATCATACCTTTCCCAAGATTATTAGCATGTGAATGCGATAGATTCAACTGGAATTCGAACTCGGCTCTCCGATTCCTCAATCCGAGCCACTATCCATTATTCCACCAGGGCAGATTTTTTCACGGCGTAGGTTGCTATTTCTTTCTGTGGTAGACCAGTTGCCATCCAAGGCTATAGAACTCGGTCTGTTCTGCTATTTACCCATAGCTGGGAGAGGGGAGAAGAAGAGAATTCATACATTTCCCAAGAGTATTAGCATTTAAGTGAATGTAATGGATTCGACTGAAAAGTCAGTCAGTCAGTTATATGCCATGAGTGATACACGCTTAGGCGATCATGTATCTTTCGATATATGACTGACGAGGCAGATTTTATCTCGCAGTAGTTTGCCATTTCTTTCTGTCATAGACCAGTTGCCATCCAAGGCTATAGAACCCGGTCCTGCAATTTACCCATAGCTGGGGGGGGAGAAGAAAAGGATTCATAACTTTCCCAAAGGTCAGTCAGTCAGTTATGTGCCATTCGTGATACACGCTTAGGCGATCATGTATCTTTCGATACATGACTGACGAGTCCGATTTTTCTTGCAGTAGGTTGCCATTTCTTTCTGCAGTAGACCAGTTGCCATTCAAGTCTATAGAATCCGGCCTGTCCTGCTATTTACCCATAGCAGAGGGGGGAGAAGAAGAGGATCCATACCTTTCCCAATGGTATTAGAATGTAAGTGAATGTCATGGCTTCGAGTGGAATTCGAACTCAAATAGACTTCATGTTGAGCAATAAAGATTTTACACATTCTGTTTAAATTTGAGATCATTTGGTCAAGAATTGGGTGTTATTTGACACAATTTTGTAGGGACACCCTGTACAAAAAAAAAAAAGCATAACCTTGCAGGTGGGGCCCAGTAAGAAATACTTTCCAGTCGAGTAACCCAGTCAGCGCAGACGGTGATCGATAGAGTCTTTTCCCCAATTTTATAGACGTGACTCCCAAGTCGCCTGGTAGCTTCATCCTTCAAACCACGTAAAGGCCAGTCAGCTGTCAGTCTTTAGTATGTGAGCGGTGTGGTTGTCTCTTTCTATGTCTTTATCACTTTCATTTCTCTTCTTTTTCTTCTTCTTTTTTGTCCCTTTATTCTTATTTGACATTGTCGTTGTTATTGCTACTCTTTAAGTGCAGAGAGGAAAGTGAAGACTGTATTTTTGAAGCGGCGTGGATAATGATGCTATACTCGGCATTTGTTACTCATCTCTGCGTCTATTGAGTTATCGAACCACTAGTAACTGGTAGCTTTCTCTGCAGATCGAGTGACAGCAAATTTCCTTACTTCACCAGCACTCTCCTCAGTATTCGATCCTATTTTAATAATGCTGCCGTCTGGACGGTTTCGCTGTCTCCGCTGATTTGAAGGTCTTCGAAACATTTTATAACCACACGTCCTGCTTGTTCCGAGCACACCAACAACAATTTATACAACTGTCACTCTCTTTTATGATGCCAATGAATACTCGTTGTCACTTTCGTAATGCTATTAGTAGTAGAGACTTTGTAATCGCAACTTACAACTATAGTAACGCCATTGAACAATACTGATGTCAGACGCTTTTGAATAATACTCGCACTAATAGTACTGGCTCGATAATACTCGCCGTATAGAGAAATAGTATAGTGAATAATACTCGCCGTATAGAGAAATAGTATAGTGAATAGAGTAGAGAATAGCGGTCCGTATAGTAATGGAGGATAGAGTAGAAATGGTGATCCGAATAGTAATAGAGGATAGAATAGAAATAACGATCGTTATTCGTCAGCTACTTACTGCATATATGCGTTTCCGCTATGGTCACGTGGTCTACTTAATTCAATAATGAGGTAGCCTGTGTTTGCTCATTGGCGATCTATGTTCAAACTCAAGTGTCGGCAGCGATACTTTATTCCTATATACACTCTTATGGGGCACCTCGGGGCGGTGTAATGGTTAGCAAGCTTGTCTCGCTAGAACAATTACAACTGAGTAGTGAGTTTGATCCTCACTGGGTGCCCCATACTTTCAGTCTTGTGCCACATCTAAGCTACGCTTGGAAAATCACTAGGGGACCCCGAGGTGGTGTAATGGTTAGGATTCGAAAATCAGTATAACACTCTCATGCTCTGAAAGCTTTCACTTGGTTTGCGGAGTTTTCATATTTGCCCTACATTCCATTTCTTCTTTTTCTTGTAGTAGTAGTAGTA